GGTTTGACACCACGCAGGAGCTAGAAACGAAAAATCTGGTCCCTGTGGGATCTATGCGTACGCTTGCTGGTGAATACCGAAAGCGCACTAACGCAGAACATCACTCAGCCAGAAGCTTGTCTAACGCATCACGGGCATTTGGAATCGCGCTTGACGTCTTTGCAGCGAACTCTGGACCACCAACCGAACGGAAGAGGACCGACCTCACAACCAGGGCAACATGCCTCTTTATGGGGGACGAGGATGGGGGACAGCCGCTTGACATTGTTTACGGACATCGCGTTTTTTTGGTTTGAAGCAATTCCATTGTGTAAATAAACACTGACTCTTGACTAGTCTGGCTCAGGGCAAAAATCCTTCGACTCCTTGCCTACTACGAGCCTATCCAATTCAGGTGCTTTCTGAGCCGAGACTGCATCCACCGTGTGCACAACGATGGTCAGCTTGGTGTGCGGCACAATGGTTTGTGGGGTCACTTGCTTGAGTATTTTCTACACACGGACACACACGCGCACACACCTTTCAATGTTCATTGCCAACTGAGGTGTGGTAGGGGTGCTGCGACTGGTCATGTCGATTTCCAAAAAACCTTGGAACTCGAGAGAGTTTGGGAATTCCCGCGCCGCTTTCGCGCAACACTTTCTCACGACCTACAGCGCTGATAGCCTTGAGTTCTTGGCAATGTGCGAAGACATAGCCAACGACCTGAACCTACCGGGTGACACGCAGCCGGAAGTGTTGCATGAAAAATGCGCGGCTTTCCGGACGATGTGTACCGAAACTGATGCGGCTCGGATTTCCTTTCTTTTCTCTGTTGGGTACCAACTAAAGCCAACACTTTCCGAGACAGTTGCGTTTCTTTGCGTGTTGTCTGCTTTTGCAGCTGCCAAGGTGACTCTACGACGCTGGTTCCAATGGGTTTTCCGGTGGCCTCAGTTTGCGCAGTGCTGGCATTTCATGCTCCTGGGTTGCATGTGGCTGGTGGCAACTGGTTTTGCCCTCCTGGCAGCTTAGGAAAAAATGCTTGGAGCTTCGCAGCGCGTGGCTGGGGAAGGGGGACCAACGCGACACTCCCATGGAAATGCTTGACGGCCAGGATCCTAAAGCATTAGCCATAGGCGAAGGACCTGCTGCAGGGCAACTTGTTGAGGACAACCCTTCGCGGAGAACTGCTGCGGCTTTGAACAGGGGGGGCGCCAACCGCGCAAATCCTTCTGAACCAGCAACGCGAACAGCAAAGCAACAAAAGTCGTTGGATGACTACCTCAAGCAGTTGAACGCCAAGACCAACCTACTTGACCTTTGCACAGAGGTCTTGTCTGACAGGCGGTTGCAAGTGTTTGGCTGGATGATTCTGGGGCTAAAGGACGCAACGCTTTATTACTGCTGCTGTACTTCGGTTTTCCTTCCCGGATTCCTACTCTTGCTAACAATGGTTTCGTTTCTAGCTAAGGATCTACAGTGCGATGAAGCCCTTGGGCGACGAATACCTGTGGATGCTTGAGCAAATGAGAACAATTGACTCAAGCAGGCAAATGCAAAGCGGGTGGGCAAACAGAAAATGGGTACGTGTCATCGCATCTTGCTTCAACCAATTGAGCGATTCCCAAACACTTGGCCACCTGCGACTGCTCGCGCCCCATGTTGACACGGACCATGACGCAGAGGACTCTATTCAATTCTTTGACCTCGTTGCAGCGGTGGCTTCCCAAAGAGCTTGGTCCATGTCTTTTCACAGCGAAGTTCCCCCCCACCAATGGCTGGGCTTGCTGGACACAAATTCCACTTGGGCCAGGGAGGCCAAAACCAAAATGCAAGACGATTGTGAGTTGATCAAAAGGGTCAACGACTACATCGCCAACGGTGGGTCTGACCGCGTGCGGGAGGTGGGGGGGGGGGGGTATGGTGTTGGAGACTTGCTGAAATAGAGGGGTGGCCCTGTAAGTCGCAACTGGCTGCGTTCTTTTGGTCTTGTGCGGCTGGACCCGACTGCGCACGCAGCCCTGCTAGGCTTTACAATCAGCGATGAGTGAGTTGTGGTTTCCGAAGCTCCAGCTGGTGAAGGAGACCTTGCAGGTTTGCAGTGTGTTAGCGAGATTGTAAACTTGCTAGCTTTTTCAGCAAAATACTGAGGCACTAACTGACTGACCTGCTGACTGACTGCTGACTGACTGACTGCTGACTGACTGACTGACTGACTGACTGACTGACTGACTGACTGACTGACTGACTGACTGACTGACTGACTGACTGACTGACTGACTGACTGACCACTCACTGACTGCCGCCTGCCTGCCTGCCTGCCTGCCTGCCTGCCTGCGTGCGTGCGTGCGTGACTGACTGACTGACTGACTAACTGACGCGCTAGGAGTTTTATGCCCACTGCGACTTCTTTGCGTGGAGTATGGATGCTATGTGGGATCATATTTGGTATCTGGGAACCACATGGGCTACCACAAAGCACTCAATGGAAGACTTGATTGGTGACGCGGCTGACCACACATCGCGGGACACCAAGAAAGAGCACAGTTCTTTCGAAAGATCCTATTTTCACCTTGCCAACTCCCGACGGCTTACAACAACGGAGTTTGCCCACATGCGACTGCAACGCGGTGACCTAGCCAACACGAAGTTGAAATCAACCATGAACCGGAAGGAAGTCTTTGTTGCCATGTCTGAGCGCTCTGTTGTTTGCAGCAAAGTCAAGGACGCGTTGCTTTTGGACTCCAAGGGGGCAAAGGCTTCTGGCGCTGACTACATCGCAGCTGCGCACATTCCTGTTGGCAAGACTTTGTGGAAACCTGCTGGGCAAACCTCCGACCACAAAGAGGTGGCAGCTCTACTTGCGCTTCGTGAATGTGCACCCAACAACTTCGCTGCTTTTCCGGGGTGCTGGGCTAGCTTTCTTCTTCAGGAGGGGAAAGTTTTCAGGCGGCGAACCCCTGAGGGAAATGGCGCAGTGTTTCTGTCCTTCGGTTGTCACGGAAGGGCTGCGTTGGGAATCCGTTTGCGAGAGACTAGTCCTGGCGTGTTCTCAACCGACTTCGCGAACATGGACTTAACAGAGCTGCGGAACAGCGTCACCCCCATGATCGAACACGGAATTAGCAAAGACGTTGGTGGAACTGTCTGGGTCGGGCTCCCTGTGCTGGTGTGCTTCTAAGCTGCATTTACACTTTAATGTTGCGTTACTCATTTGTCTTTCGCCGTGTTCACTTCTTCACCCTGTCACGGGTTTCTGTCTGTGTGTTGTGCTCTGAGGCTCTCCTCGTCATGCCGAACGAGCCGCCATCCTTCTACACCAACAAGGGGCTGAAAAGGAATTGGTCCAACATTTTCTTCTCCACGGCACTTTACAACATGTGACCGAATTCCAGTTGACCCAGCTTTGCCATGCTGTTGGTGCTGCTGTGAAGAAGTACGGCGAGAAGCGAGCAGCAACCAGGTCCAAAGTGAATCTTGGAACACAATGTGTATGAGCAAGCCCTGTCACGATTATTGAATTTCTTTCTTCCCAGGTTTTGAAACACGCGCCCTCATACATTCTGCCCCCCTGAGTGTCGCAATACTAGGATGAGCCTGATTCAACATTGTCTCCCGGATATGAACGAGCTCGATCGCATTAGCACCTTTGACAAACTGATGTTGACTGCCAAAGTCCGTGCAGAGAAAAAAACCGAAGTGGCCTTGAAAGCGCTCAGGCTATTGGACGGTGAGGATGATCGTGCCATGTTCCAAACCCTGAAAGAGCGACTAGAAGATAGTGAGCGGGAACAAGTAGTGGTTGCTAGATTCGGTGGGACCAAAGCAGCTGCTACATTTTTCACTCCAGGCCAAATCAAAGGTCTCCGCCCCGACGTGACGAAGTCCAAGAACACCACAACCCTGAACAGCATATTGGTTTGGCAACAAAGCAAGCAAAGCTTTCATGGGTATTACCCTCGCGCTCAATCTTCTGGTGGTGATGTTGAAGACCCAAAAGCAAGGACAAAGAAGTACGTGACTCACAGTCGCAAGTATGCAGATGACAACGAAGATGCTCAACTTCAAGCTTTGTGGTCTGTGGTTCTTCTCCTGTGGAAGGAACACAAGCGACAAGGAGGACCAGATGATAGCAAACCAAACAAGGATCAGTGCCGTGAAGCCCTACAACTGGCAGCAAAGGACATTGCGGAAGGAAAATGTGAAGCAGTGGAAGAGCCAACGAACGAAGCGTTCCCTGAGCAAACACAAGCCGTCAGTTTCACCGACAAAGCCGCCCCGGATGAGACCCTGGATGCCCCAGCTTCATCATCCACCGGCAGCAAGCGAAAAGCACCAGAGACATCTGAGCCAGCTGGGTCTTCAAAACTGAAACCGAAAGCTGTGCCAGAAGCCAAGCCGCATGCCAAAATGAAGAGCTCGAAGGGTTCCAAAAAGGAATCCAAGAAAGATGCCAAGAAGAAGAAGGAGAAAAAACACAAAAAAGCGAAGAAGGCAAAGAAGGAAGTCGAGCCTTCGCCATTTTTGGAAGGTTTGAAGGTGCCAGTGCTGACAGACAGCAGCTCCAGCGATTGAATATCAATCCCCGCGAGCAAAAAGAAGGGGGCCGCCCGTTTCGCAGGGTTGGAACTTTCACGGGGAATGGTTGGATGGCAAATGCGAATTTCGCAATCAATCAAAACATGTATTCTTCTGTATTTTCAGGGTTCCTTGCAAAATGGCCTTTGGAGACAGAAATCAGCGAATTCATACCCAAGCAATAAATAGGCCTTAACTAAGGCCCAAAGAACCATGAACATTGCTGGGGTTCACACAGGGGTGCATACATTGTACTCTTGACATCAAAGGCCAACAGAAACACAAAGGATCCCACCTACGACCCACCCCAAGCCCCCTATCCTCTCCTCCCCCTGGTTGCCTCCGAAGACCTTTGGAGGCAAATGGATCCAATGAATCTACCGGAACCGAACGCGCCGCTCGTTCGGAAGGCAACCGGCAGCTGGAACTGAGCGCGGCTCTGGTTGGCATCGCTGATCCTTGCGATGCGAAACCCGCTGTCTGTGGACTTTTTGCAGAATCAGAAGCACTAGAATAAAAAGACACAAAAGGCGGTCAAAAATAGGTACCCAAAAGGGACCCTGGCAGATGGAACCAAAGACTAAAACCCGCGGTCCCCTGGTGATTTAATATTAACTGAGGCAAGAAAAGCGTCTGGCACTTGACAAGTCGGATTGCAACCCCCTGCTTTGGGTTCGAAAAGCTCAACCCCTGCACTCAGCGGTTCACAAGCCGAGAACGGTTCGAGCCCGCCGAGAACCGGCGCCTGGTGGTGACGAGGTAATTGAAGGTGTTGCCGAAAAGCTTCGCCACCTGCTAAAGTGACGCACTTTGATGTCGAGACGAGCCATCGAGAAACAAGGCCTGCTCAGCTTCCTTCCTATTGGTTTGGATTGAAATTCGTGATTTGGTAGTTGGGCTTCCCATGTGCCATCTACAAGAACCCGGGAATCCCCAACCACGAATGCAAACCACCAACTACGGCTTGCCTCACCGGCTTTCTTTTGTTGTTGGTAGCTTGCCTTTCAAAGGGACCCAACAAACAAAGGCACCATCAGGCACCGCTGGAGATCTGAGAATGTCAGCAAAGCCGAGCGAATGCAAGGTAAACCAAGCCAAGGAAGCAAGCATGGAAAAGCAAGAGAAACGCACAGCCTGGCAGGGCAAGGCAAGCAACCACTTTTTTCCCATACCGCATCCTCCATTTGCTTAGGTTCCCCTTGGAAAACATATTTCCGGTAGTGAAATCGATTCCCTGTAAAACCAACAGGGGAAAACAACAATCTTAACCAAATGGAAGGCATTGGCTTCGACTCATGGCGCAGAATCCCATTTCAGCATTGGTCGCCGGACTCTTGACACAGATCCAGGAACGGGCCTCCCGATCCTCGAATCGCCTCCTGCCATCGGAAGGCATGAATCCCAGCTACATCGGGGACTTGAGGCCCGTTTCGAGACCAAGGTGGTCCATTCCTACCGTGGATGAGGACTTTGTTCATCCACAGCATGACTATCACCATTAAATGGAGGGATTCCCTTGATCACAAATATAGCGGCAACCCAAACAAACAGGAGTTGAAGGGTTGCTAAAGCACCATGTGGTCCCTCCTCCATCTGGAAAGCGTGGTCAGGAGCAACGCTGTAAAAAATCACACAGTTCGTTGGTTCGGCACTTCCCATTGAGCAGGATCAACAACCCAAAGACCCAAAAAATGCAACCAACAATAGCACAGCAACCATGAGTGGCGCTGTGGATTCTTTCAATTTAATGTTACCCCCGCACCAATCAACATGGTGGATCACTAGGGCGCTGCTCCCCCCGAAAGTGAGGCATTGTCTCAACTGGAAACCCCAAGAATCATCAAGTGACGGTTGATCCATCCTGGGTCCAAATCATGGCAAAACACTCATCAACTATTCAGCACCCAGTCCAAACCCGCTTGAACTGAGCCTTGGTCAAAATTTTCCTCTGGGTGGACGCTGTTCCCTTCGAAGCTAGACTTGGGCTTAAACATGCTGAGGGACGCTCAGTGTTTAACATCCTCCTGGCCATGGCAATCTCACCATCGTCTAGAACAACAGGAGACCCCTTCAAGCGCCTGCGCAAAAGAGACAGGCGCAACCGGCCGCTTCTCCCTCCGCAAGTTTGAACATGCTGCCGGCAATGGGTTGCCTTTCAAGGGGTGCCAAGCACCCCCGGGGCAGAACCCTTCCTCCAGACATCGAAATGCCGCCAGAAACGACAAAACAAAAATAATAAAGGGCTGAGGCTCTGCAAAGGTAGACCATTGACTTTATGTCACAGGAAAATAAAAGGAGTCTACCAATGTCCGAGCCAAAAATGGAGGAAACTTGAACTGCTGGTTGGTCTGATTTGGTGCTGCAACCCTGGGAAACGGTTTCTGAATCCGCACAGGAGCCATTGGTAGATGAGCTGCCCGGCTTCAGTCGCCGTTATTTAGGGAGAGTGTGGGGAAACCAAGCGACCACGAACAAGAGGTCCTTACATATCATATGAATCATGGGCGTGTCCCTGGTTTTGAGGGTACCCTTTCGGGGGTCAAAGGGAAACCAACCACGAGTTTTCCTGTTTGCAGATACACCGTGTATGTAGATGATGTATATGTGTAAACAAATATATATATATATATAATGAATATGTAGGATTTCCCCATTTGCGCCAAGCTCAGGGCACTATTCACGAAGCCAATTCAGGAAACAGGGAAACACGGCCTTTTCTGTCATGGCCCGGGGGTCAAAGACTTTGGACCGGGGGACGGGGGTCCCGCAAGGCCTTGGAGGTGGACAAAACCCTTACTAGGTCCTCCAGATTTGAGAGGTTAGAATAAGGGTACCAACTTTTTCGGTCTATTTTAGTAGGGGAACCCTCCCAACCAAAAAAGGGCAAAAGGGTACTACTGGGGACCTAGCCTAGCACCAGTTGAGATGCATGCAAACCCTGGTGGATGCCTGGCTTCGACCAAAACCCTGGAACCCCCCGACCCAGATTCCCTTTGGCCCAAACAAGTAGGTGGCTCACTTCCTGAGTGCATTGGCGCCAAAAAAAAGCTCCCACACTTTTTGTCCGCCAAGATAGTCCAAACAGAGTGACATGTTTTTTTAAAATAAAGAATCCGAGTCCCGGAACTCAGGGAGTGAGTCTTTTAGGAATTGCTCAAACACCCTGGCTCGTAAATGTTCAGAGCCTTTGGTGACTTGTCCCTGAGGTTCCTTGGTTGACATTAGAAGAAAGGAAAACGTGTTTTTTTTTTGGAGTTGAGTGGAGTTGGATTTCCACCACTAAACCACAATGAGCGAAAACTGCGAAAAACAAATGCTTCCCCACAACAAACCATGGCTCGGCTTCCCCCGAAAAAAACCGGCAAGCCCCTCCCGCCTCCCAGAAATTTTGACCCAAACAAAAACCACGCGCCGATCGGATCCCGCCGATCCGCCGACCTGTCGAAGCCGGAGCAGCAGACGTAGAAGGAGCTCTGCAGCGCCTCTCAAGCGACCCGGCCGACCCAACCGGGAGGGAGCTGCTTCGTGGGGTTTTGGGACGTGGTGGCTGCCAGGGGTCCCCTACTGCAAAAAAGTGGCTTCACGTTTTTTGCGGGGGCTCCATGGAAAACCGCTGGAGAAAAAAAACCTGGACTTCCCGAAAAGTTTTGAAGTCTAAAGATCCAACCCAATAGCAGTCGAGTTGAGTGGTTTGGGCATGAACGAACATCATTCTTTTTTCGTGAGGAATGGTTCAACCAGCGAACCCTCCGATTCAGACCTTAGGGTCAGTTTTTAATGGGTTTTTCTAGGGTGGTGTCGCTGGGTTTTTGAGGGTCCAACGACGTGAAAAGGGCACGTCCCATGTTTCTTGCTGGTGCGATAGGTAGGGAATGAGTTGGAATGAACCGTTTGGGAGTCCCAATAAAGCAAAAACCACGAGCTGGAGGGTTTAGAAGGGTCAGTCCAATTCTCATTCCCTGCCTATCGCACCAGCAAGCAAAAATGCTGAGAAAAAATAGGAACATAAGTCCAGT